GCGGGCCCCTGAGCCCCTGCCGCCTGCGCGGAGGCCTGATGTCCTGGCCTTCCCTCCCCTCTGGCTCCAGCAGAGCCCGAGGCCGGGGCTGCTGCTCGCCTGCGAGGCCGTGGCGGAGCCCGGAGACCCACAATGTCTGGGGCCGGGAGGCCTCTCTGGCTCTCGGCCTCTCCCCGTGTCCCGCCCCACTCCCCCCGGGAGGAGGGGAGACACCCGCCCCTCCGCAATGTTGTCTCCCAGCAGCTGCCGGAACCCTCCCCCTCGTGGGGCCCAGCGCCCTCCCGCCCCGGCTGTGAAACCCCTGGCAGGGAAGGCCCAGCGGTCAGCTTACCGCAGTCCTTGCCTCTGCCAGGCCGAGTCCTGCGAGGGGTTCGGCTCCCACCTAAGGCACTCAGGGCTGACGCCCTGCGGGGCCCGCAGCCTCGCCATGTCCGCCCACATGTCCTCACGCCTGCTTCCCCTTGGGCTGACCTCGGCTCCTCCGGCCCATTTGGTAAGTAAGTTAGGCACAGTCCGGGCCTGTCTCTCTCTTCTAGATTGGGGGGCTGGGGGGCCGGGGCGCTGCCTGGCCCCCGTGCTGAGAAGTCTGGGCCACAGGCCTCTTCCGGCTGCCTCTGCCCTTCTCTGAGCCCCCTGGAAGCTTTCAGACGCAACTTGGCAGTTCTTATGAACTGAGGCCTGAGACTCTGGCTCCATGCCACCAGAGATTCCATCCGGGGTGGCGAAGGCCGGCCAGCCTCCCCCCAATCAGTGCCCTGTGCCAACCCCACACGCCTGCCCAGGGAGCATAGTGGGGCCTTCCTTCTGGGGGCTCAGGCCCCCTCAGCTAGCTGATAGCCCTGCCAGGGGTGGGCCGCTTGGGAGAAAAGCTCAAGGCCCTCCTGGCCCAAAGTCTGGGACCCTACCAGTCAGGGGGGCCCCCTCCGGAGGGGAGGCTTTCCTCCAGGCCCGGAGCACCCAGACCCCCGGCGCCAGGCCACCCCCTTTCTCAGAGCTGGTGGCGCGGAGGCCCCGCTCTCCCGTGGCCCATCCTCCCCCCCAGATCCCCTTCCTGCTGTGTCCCCCGGCAGCCAGAGGTCACCTCCTGGTCCTCTCTGCCGCCCCCACCCCCCAGCGTCCCAGGCAGGGGCGGGCGCAGCCCCTCCTTCGCAGCCTCTCCCGCCCCACCGCCACCACCCAGCCCACATTAACTGTAATTTTGTAAGAAGAGTGACTTGTTGGTTTAATAAATCTTTAGTTATTGTAATAATTTATTGGCTGCCGTAATGTATTTACTAGTCACCTGCCGTTAATAAAAAGTGCCAGCTTTTCCTAGCGTGAGCGTGGTGTGCTGCGTCCGTGGGCTCCGGCCGGGCGCACCCACACTTTGCCCCGCCCCGGCGCCGGACGCTGGGCTCCGAGAGGACTCTGGGCGGCGGCCGCCGCCTCTCAGGTGTCTGGAGGGCAGAGCTGTGTCGCGCGAGCCCACCTGCCTGCCCCGGCCTGCTGGGCGCCAGACAGGGAGGTGGCCGCGGGCAGGGCAGGGCAGCCCTGGCTCCTCTTCTCCGCTGGTGACTGCGTCGTGCCCCGTGTTCTGGGCGTCTGTTCCTCCCGGGGCAGCGTGTGTGGAGGGGTGCGGTCAGGCCCGCGGGGCTCAGCGCCGGCGCTCCCCTCCCCGCGGCTGCTCAGCCCTCCCGGACGCCAGCCGCCCACCTGCGCACGAGGCCATCAGCCAGGGGGCTGCCGGTGGACCGTGCACTCTGGGGCAGGCTCCTGGGCTGCCCAAAGCCTCGCCGCAGAGGGCCCGGGCCCACCAGTCCCGCCCACTGCTGGCCAGAGTGCGGGCTGTGGCCTGGGGCGCTGTGTGGCTGAGCCCTGGAGGTGCAGGTGTGGGGTGGGCGCCTTCGGAGCAGCCATGCTGGCAGCTCAGGCCAGCTGGTGGCCGCTGCCGTGACCTCTGGCCTGGAGCCGGGCCGGCCAGCTGGCTGTGCGCGGTAGCCGGGTCCGCAGGTGTTGGTGCGGCTTGCCCGGCCTCGTAGGTGGCCCAGTGCGCCCCTGCGCCTCCGCCAGCCCTTTCTGAAACACCCTGGCGCTGGCGCGGGCCGGAGTGATGAGGGGCCGTGGGGCTGAGACTGAACCCCCCTGCTGGGGGCGGGGACGGGGGTCAGGGCACCGGGCGTCGGCGCGGACTGTCAGCGAGGGACAGTGCAGTTCTCCGCAGGGCCCGAGGGAGCGTGAGGCCAGGCCAGCCCCAGGTTCCCGAGGGCAGCAGAGAACTCTTTGCCCCGACCGTGCCTGCTGGCCTCAGCCGTACAGCCTCGGGCCACAGGGGCCTGGCCCCGAGGGGAGACTAGTGTAAAAGCAGTCGGGCAGGAGGCCACCGCGGCCCTGCTCCGGGCCGGGACAGGCCTGTGCCTGTGCTCCGGGTCGGCCTGTGCCGGGGCAGGCCCCCTTCTGGGTCCCCGCCGTGTCCACTCTCGATGCCCGCAGGGCTGAGGAGGTGCAGTGCAGGGCGCGGGCCAGCCGCGGGGGTGGGGGCTGGCCGCTGACCAGCAGCTTCCGCTCAGCCAGTGCCTGCCGGTGCCCGGGGGTCCATCCCAGTGCGGGCCCAGCGCCCCCCTCGCGCCCCCCTTCTCTGTTCTTGCCTCTGATTTGTTTCAACCTCCTCACTTCAGAGATGGGGCCGGGAGTCAGTCCGGGCTTCGGCCACAGACCCACGCACTGCGTCTGGGCTGGACACTGGCCAGGCCTGGGTCTTGGGGGACATGAGCCTCTGACGCTGCCCCCCAGGGAGGAGCATGTCAGGAAGACGCCTCCTTCGCCGACAGGCACCTTGCTCTGGTCTGCCACGTGCTTGGCACCCGAGCCGTCCCCAGGGCAAGCGAGGCAGCTCTGCCCGGAGCTGCAGTCGCGCCTCCCCGCCCCTGTGTGAGGCGGGACGCCACAGGGTCAGACACGGCGGCGTGTGACCCGGCCCCCCATCCGAGGGGGCTGTCGTGACTCCCCTCGGGCCCCCAGAGACGGGGCTCCACCCGCAGGCGGGGCCAGAGAGGAGCGACGGGGCAGGAAGGGCCGGAGCCCAGCGCGTGGGCTCTCGCTGACCCCTCGGCCGTCCCAGCCGCGCCCAGGCCCAGCGTTGGCTCCGAGCGGTCAGACTCTGCCCAGCGTTGGCTCCGAGCGGTCAGACTCTGCCCACGACAGGACCGTGGGCGTGGCCTTTCTGGATGGGAACGCGGGGAGGGGACGTGCGGTCTCCGCGGCCCTTGCCCGGTCAGCTTCGGAGGAGCCTGGGGGCACGGGCGGCCCCTAGCCCAGCAGGCAGCCGGTGCGCCCCTCCAGCCTAACGCTCTTCTCTCTCTCGTCTCCCTCTCTCCCCCCTGTCTGTCCTGCGCTCTCCCTCCCGCCTGGGCCCGCAGAACCGCATGCACGAGTCTCTCATGCTCTTCGACTCCATCTGTAACAACAAGTTTTTCATCGATACCTCCATCATCCTCTTCCTCAACAAGAAAGATCTCTTTGGTGAGAAGATCAAGAAGTCACCTTTGACCATCTGCTTTCCTGAGTACACAGGTGAGTGGCCAGCGACCGAGCTGGAGGACGCCTCACCCCTCCGTGTCTCCCCTGCCCGCCGTGAGTGACTGCAGGGATGAAGCCGGGCAGACCACCGGCTCCCCCTTCCATCCTGGCCACCCCTAACTTCTGGCCTCCCCCGATCTCACCAGTGTCCTCCCTCCCCTGGCAGAGTGGGGTGGGGGCGCCTCTGGGCCAAGCTAGTAAACCAGACACGGGCGCAGCTCCAGGCTGCCGCGCGGAACGGGCCTCGCCTCTGTGCACAGCGGCTCTACCGGGCCCCCAGCCCCCCGGGGGTGCCTGCCCCCCTCCCCGCCCATAGACCCACTGGCCCCACCTCTATTCTTTGCCCCCAAATCAGACCTCTCCAACTCTCTGCCGGCCTCCTCCATCCCTGCCTCTTCCTCCCCTGGGACTCGCTGCCGTCTGGCTCCAGGGCACACAGCCCTGGCCCGGCCTCTCCCAGGGGGCCAAGGCGGCTGCCCGGGCCTGCGGAGTGCCACTGTCCGTGCGGCTCCCGCTGCCCCCGCTGAAGTGGACGGGGCTTGTGGGCGCAGCCCCAGGCCTCGTGGGTCACCTCTGCGAGCTGAGGACACAGCTCAGGCCCCGCACGAGAGAAGGGGTCACGGCTCAGCTTGGCCAGAAATCCCGGGCAGCCGAGGGTGCGGTGGGGGTGGGGCGGACGTGGCACTGGCGCCCAGGGCTACCTGCGGCCACCCTCTGGCGCAGGCCACCCTCCCCTTAGGCTTGTTCTCGCTCCTCGCCGACGTCCTGCCCACCCCACCAGGGTGCAAGGCTGGTTTCCGGAGGGCAGGCGGCCCAGAGCAGCCTCGGCAGCCGAGCGCCTGGCCCCCTTCCCGGCTGGAATGAGCCCCACAAGCGCCCACGGCGCCTCCCGCAGAGGCCTGGGGGCACAGGGTGGTGCCCGCAGCCGGGGCTGCATCGGTGTGTCACGGCTGCGGCAGTAGGCCGGAGGCGGAGACCAGCAGAGGCGAGATGCCGCGATGCAGGGTGGGGCGAGGCGGGGCCCGGGCAGGCCCGGAAGGCCCAGCTCCAGGCTGCCCAGGGCCAGGGAGGGCCGGAGGCCGGCAGGCTGGGTACCCCATGGGCCAGCCGCGCCCAGCCGGAGCGGAGGCCCTCCAGGACCAGCTCCGGTCTCCTGAGGATGTGACCCCACGAGCCCCGGCAGGCTTCCTTGTCCCGGGAGCAGGCCCAACTCAGGACGCAGCTGGTGGTCAGTCTGTGGCATGTGTGTGGCATGGGGTGTGGGTCCCCCGGGGAAAGTGGGCCTGGGTTCGGGAGAACTTTGAGTTCAAACAGCAGGTGACAGTGACCAATGCTTACTGATGCTGTGGACTGTGGGGACCCCAGGCCTGTGGGGGCGGGAGGGCCAGGGGTGCGGGGTGTCCGGGGCGAGCCCAGGGTGCAGGCTGAGACGGCCCCCTGGACGGGGCACCCCAGCAGGCCCCTCCCAGGACCACCCGACACCTGTCCGGCCCCGGCGCAGGCGGCTCCAGGCCCAGCCGGTGCGGGGCGCTCCAGCGCCTGCACGCTGCTGCTCACCTGAGCTGTGGCGCCCCGGGGCCCCCATTTGTCTGTCCTGGCAGCTCTCCCTGGAAGCTCGTGCCCTGCAGCCTGAGCAGTGGAAATGCAGGGTGGGAGAGGGGTGCCCTCCCCCCACAAGCGTATTGCCTCCAGGCTGGCAGATACTAGTGGCGCTGAAAAGGGGCATCTTCCCTCTGCGGACGGTCAGGCGGCGCTGCTGTGCCGGCCGGACTTGACGGCACTGACGGGAAAGCCGAGCGCAGGGCAGCAGGGCCGCGGCTGCTGTGGGATCCGCGATCCCCGGCCAGACTGGGCGGGGCCCAGCTGCCGAGGGCGGTGCCGCAGGCCCCCACCTGGTCCCCTGCAGGCTCTAGCGCTTAAACCTCTCGCCTGGGGACACCCGCGCCCCCCCCTGGCAACTCGGCCAAGTAACGGGGCTGCTCAGACACCCCCAGCCCTGCCCCGCGGGTGCTGGTGGAAGCAGCGTGAGGAAGGCGTGGGTGGGGTCTGGCTGTGCCAGCTCGCGCGAGCTGAGGCCCCACGGCTGGGGGCCCCATCACTGCTGGGGAGCAGAAGCAGCAGGGCTGGTTTCGACCACGGTGCCGGGACGAGCCAACCTGGGGTCTGGATGTGAACATAGTCATGCTGGGGGTGCGCAGGGGTGAGGGGTGCGGAGGGCTGATGCAGGTCTCATCTGCATACCGAGCAGCGCCACGGCCCACTGCTCCCAACCTGCTGCACCCCACTCTCACGGGGCCTCTCCCCTGTTCCTCTGTCTTCCTCCAGGCCCCAATACCTATGAAGATGCAGCCGCCTACATCCAAGCACAATTTGAAAGCAAAAACCGCTCACCCAACAAAGAAATTTATTGTCACATGACTTGTGCCACAGACACGAATAATATCCAGGTGGTATTCGACGCCGTCACCGACATCATCATTGCCAACAACCTCCGGGGCTGCGGCTTGTACTGACCTCTTGTCCTGTATAGCAACCTATTTGGTAATGATTCCAGCACTCAGAAAAGCTTGCACACACACACACACACACACACACACACACCACTAGCAGATGCAAGTTGGTAAATAACAAAACCTTATATATATACAGATATATATTAAAAGATTCTTTTTAGTTTGTACTAGAAAGAGCTTTGGACAGAACTGACCACCCCACGCCATCAGTTCCCGGCACGCACCTGCGTGCCCGCTCTCAGGGTGGCGGTCCTGCCGCGGGGCCCATCCCTCTATGAACAGCCACGTGATTTTACCCCCAGACCCATTCTGTGAGCAGAGGGCGGGCAAAGGCCGGCCGGCCTCGCCCGCCTGCCTCTCTGCTTCCACCCGCTGAGGCCGTGTGCTCTCAGTTCTGTCCTGCTCTGCGGATTCCGAAACCCTTTACCAAATAGCCGACACCGCCCTCAGCGTCTCCCTGCCCTAACACCCCCGGCAGAAGGATCGAGTCACCTCTCCCCTGGGTGGTGGTGGTGGCGGTTGTTAACGGAAAGAATCTAGAAGAATCATGGCTCCGACCGACCCATTGTCTCCTGAGTTTTCTTTGTTCATGTTGACAGGCAAGAGTCAGAGGCAAGGGAGACTGGGCCGCTTGCCAGAAGCAGCTGGAGGGCGGGGGGCGGACAAGCAGAGGCACCTGCCCCCTCCAGGAGGGCGCAGAGGGCCGCGCGACCGTGGAGCTGACCGGGGCCAGGGTCCTGGGGTGAGGCCTCCGGGCTGGGGTGGGGTCCTGTGGGTTCAGACCCCCCCGGAGGTGCGGCCCCTCACCCTACCCCACATCACTCAAGTGTGCGGGGGTTTTTGGTTGGTTGTGGTTTTGAAAATCAAGGAAAATGGTCAGACCAGACCCCTTATCTCTCTCTCTACAGACTGCTTCACGGACTCTTTGCTGTTGACGTTGCTCTCCCGGTAGCATGACCTTTGGGCCTTTGTAAGACACACAGCCTTTCTGTACCGAGCCCCTGTCTCCCCTCCGGCCCCAGAGTGACTGACGGCTGTGTATTTCTGTAGAATGCTGTAGAATCCGGTTTTAGTTGAGTCTTTACATTTAGAGTTTGAAAGGAAAAATTATTTCTCATGTGCTTTGTAGCTTAAAAAAAAATTTGAGGAAAAAGGAAAACTCACCATTTCATCTTTTTTTTTTGAAATAAAGAAACGCGCACACCCCTATCCCACCTGAGTGCAGAGGGGCGGCCGGCCGCCAGACGTCCTGTTCCCGGGAGGCCCCGCCTGTCTGCACCCGGCCCCACCCCGGCCCCCCAGGGCCCCTTCAGCCACACGCTCACTCCAGGTTTGTCTAGAAAAAGCACAGCTCTCACCGGCCAGTCGCTGCCCCCCGAATTCCAGCATATAGAGCTAGAGCCTTGCAGAAAAGAATTTCCCCACGACTCCCTTAATTAAGGGTTTTCTGTTCTATTTTCTTGTTTCACTTCTGTCCCCTGGGCCTGTGTGTCCCAGGCCAGGTCGGCGTCCAGGTGTCCGGGCCACGGGCTGTGGCTCCTGCACCCCTCCTCACTCCCCGTCTCGGGTGGACCCCCGTGTGCACCCCTCCACCTTTTCCTTTGTTCCAGTGACCTGTGTCCGCTCTTTCTCACATGGGGATGTTTGTGCTGCAGATAAAAAGAACAAAAAAAAAATTTTAAATACCACCAGATGGAAAACAAAAAAAAATGTTAAAAAAGATGGAATGTAGTGTTTACATGAAAGCCGACTTTCACGGTCAGTCCTGTGTCCTTTCTACTCTGACTCGTCTCCAAACCCCAACCCCCTTCACGGTTTCACTTTTAGGACTTAATATTTGCTGGAGAATACCAGTCACAGCCATTTCAGATAAAGAGGAGGCAAAAAGACAAAATACACAAAAAATTTAAAATACAGAAAAAAAAAACTTGAAAAAAAGGAAAAAAAAAACATAAAAAAAGCCCACGGGTCTTTCTAAGCCTTTCTATTCCCAATCGGTGAGGTTTCTGTGGTATCTTACACACTGCCAGTCTACTTCTCTAATGGAAATTCATGTGTAGCTCAATAAAGAGAATGTTTGTCTGTATTCCTGAGTCTCTCACCCTCTGGCTTCCAGACTATGGTGATTTGGGGGGCTTCACTCTGACAGGAAAGGGAAGAGGGATTTGAGTGGGCCACAGACGCTGGGGGGCTGGTGGGTTGGGTGGCATGTAGGGGCCCATGAGGAACCCTTCCCCCCACCCGCCCCCTCTGACCCCCAGGGCTGAGGGGAGCAGCTGAAGACACTGAGCAGGGACCCTCCCCCCCTCTCCTCCTGGTTCTCAGCTGGCTGCTGGCTGTGAGCAGGGTGGAGTTGAGGGGTGTGTGGGGGGGGTTATGGGGACAGGAGGTCGTCACAAGTCTGCTGCTAACACAGGACCCTGTTTCTTCTGCGTTCAGTGGTCCCACCAGGAAAACGGGTGGTCCCCCAAGAGGCCAAACTGCCTGGTTCTCCGCGTCCAGTGGGCCGCATCCACTCATGGGGTCACCTTTGAAAACTGGGGACCAGGAAGTGCCCCGTGGGGAGGACACAGGCCCCTGGGCTGACAGTCTTCAGGGCTGGAGGTCTCACTCGCTCGCTCTGGTTGCCAGGTTTTGCTGTAACAATGCCTCGGCTGAGCGAGGCCCCTGGAGGAAACCGATGCCCACCAAAGCCTGCGTTCAGCCACATATTGCTATGAGCCAGTCAGGAGCGGCATCATGCCATCTTGGGGGGAGGGGGACCCAAAGGCCTGTTCACTGGAGTCCTCCGTTGTGCCAGCACATGGCGTCAGCTGCCCCTGAGGCCTTTTCCTGGCCATCCCAGCAGCCTGGCCTCCAGCAGGGCGGAGGCTGGGGTGAGCCAGTTGCAGAGACCCACAGCAAGGCTGGTTCCCCAAGGCTGGTTCCCCGACGCGGGCACCGCTTGAAGCTCCTCCGCAGCTAGAAGCCTGCCAGCCGGCCAGGCCCCTCACCCAGCCCCACGCCAGCGCTGTGGCACGCCAGGATGCTGGAGGACGCCGGCCGTCTACATGCAGCATCCCCGAATTGCTGGGAAAACGAGCCATTTCCTAACAGGCTTTCTCCTCAACTGTCAAATGAACTTTATAGATAAAGCCAGCTTTAGTCTGTCTCCTCTTCCTTAAAATGAAGGCAGGCAGCGTTTGGGAGGACCGTGCTGAGAAAGGCCCACCAGAACAAAGGAGCTCAGGAGCGTCTGAACACCCACACACTGGCTCAGGCTGAGAGGCCTCCTGGACAGGCCCTTTGCACACCGAGCCTGCAGCACCCTCAGCACGGGCGTCAGGCCCCGACAGGATGACATCTGGTTGCGGATGGGAGCAGCTCATCCACTTTGCCAAGTGGGAAGCGGCCCCGGGGCTTTCTATCAACACAAGTAAAATATCTGCATGGACCATTGTGCTCTGATAGAGAAAAGCCTAGAAGCTTGTGTGTGTGGGGGGGGGGGGGGGTGAATAAGGAGCTGGGAAGGACCCAAGAGGCGTAGAGAGCTGGCCTAAGAAAACGGAGGGACAGAGACAAAGGCCACGGCCCAGAGTGCCCAGAAGGCAGGGCGCCCCCACCCCGAGCCAGGCAGCCTCCTCGCTTTCCGCTAAAACCTGAGCCGGCAGCCTGGGCTCGGGGCCGCAGACGGGCAGCCGCGGGCCGCCTCCCGGCCCAGATGCCCCAAGCAGTGACAAACAGGGTAACTGTCCAGGTGCAAAAGCTCAGGGGAGTTCAGTCCCCGCCGGGGTCCCCTGAAGCTCTGAAAAGCCCTGGCGCTGTGCTCTGCTTCCAGGGTCTCGGAAACTTTTATCTTTTCATGCATCTGAAACATAAGAACACACGGAATTGCTCCATCTCCAATGCGCACGACGTGGGGAATGTCAAGGGTGGGTGAAGCCAGCCCCGGCCAGAATGGCGCCCAGAGACTCCAAGTGGGGTCTGGCAGGGCACCTCGAAACCGCACACACAACACGCCAGAAGAGTTTGCGTTTTATTATCATTATTTTACAATAAAAACAAATAGCTATGCTCTCGGCAAAACAAATTTTAAAAAAAATCACAGAAATTTACTAACAGCATTTCAAGGTAAGGCTTTTGAAAGATTTATTGAAATAAATTATCTTGGCCTAAACATTTACTCATCACTCTTTGTCCAATTACTTTTCAACAGTCTAAAAACTTTGTTATGTAAAATACATTTAACTTTGCCAATAATTTTACATAATACTGGATTCTTCCCAGGACTACCGCAAACTATACTTTCAAACATGGGAAAAAAGAGCCTTCATCCAGCAGGACATAACTGAACGGTGTCGCCCATGACTGCCTGAGTCCCAACCGCGGCCGCGAGGACTCTGGACCTGGGAGCCGGGCTGCTCCGAGGCCACTCGGCGCTCACCTTTGCGCGTCTAACAAAGCCAGCAGGAACCACGTCAGGAAAACGAAGGCTCAGGAAAGAAAGATGCCAAGACGACGTCTGTTTCTTCAGTG